CTTCTGGTGTAACGAGTCATCCAGAAACTTGGTGGCTCACAACAACGATCTGTCATTTTCATTCCTGGTTCTGTGGGTTGACAGGGCTCGGCTGGGTTCTCCTTTGGGGTCTTACCTGCGGCCACAGCCAGAGGTTGGCCAGGGCTGGAACCATCTGAACACTCCACTGGGCTGGAGTCCAAGATGGTGCCGGGGCCGGAACAGCTGGACAGCCCGGGCTGATCTGGGCATCTCAGCCCACATGGGCTTTCCATGTGGCTGGCCGCACTGCGTGGTGGACTCAGGCTAGAGAGACGTCTTTGCTGGTGGCCAATTCCCCCAGTGCGAGTCTTTTAAAGGCAGGACGTGGAAGCTACTGGATGTGGGCCTGCTAACTGGTCAGAAGGGGAGAGGGGAGACTGGGACCGACCCCACCGGGGGGAAAAGGCCAAAAGATCTGTGTCCATCTGTAACCAGCTGCAGGGCCACAAAGCATGTGGCTTCTCACCTTACACACCTACTTTTCCACCAGAGACAGGGTATGGCTTCCGCAGGTGACTCCACAGATGTGGGTCTCACCCACTCGGCGTTCAGCTCTCACCTGAGTAAAACCGAGTCCCCGCATCATTGCCTCTGCTCACACGCCCTCCCCCCACTGTCTTCCTGGAGGCCAGTCAGCCCATGGCCGGGGTGGGGGGGGAGCTCCCTCTGCGAGCTCCGCCCAGCAGGCTGGCTTCCTGAGAGTCCGACTCCTCCTGAGGCCCTCCTCTCCTCCCGCCTCACCTGCCCTGAAAGCCTCTGCAACCAGCATCTTACCCCTTGTCAGAGACCCCCCATTCCTCCCACAGACGTGGCTCAGACCTCCAAGTAGGCCCCCAGGCCCCCTATCCCAGGGCTGATGGGGCAGCTTCCCAGCTCAGTTTCCCCCAAATGGTCTCCCTGCCTCTTCCAACCCCATCACCATACACACAGCTGTGCACACCTGCAGACACACAGCTCCCACTCCCAGCACACACACATGCACACACATACATGCACACGTGCATGAACACATGCACAAACACGTAATGTGTGCATACACACATGCACACACTCACAGGCTTACTTCACACGCCTGTGCTTCCCCCTCTCTGGGACTTTGCTTATATCCCTGAAGCTCAGGTGCATTTATCAATGCCATGTTGTTGCCCTTAGTACCAAGCATTGGGCTCCCCGAGTAGCAACGTGGCCATAAACGTGGGCTGGGACACTGATGGCAGGGCAGGGTCCTTTGCTCCCACACTGTGTCTTGGGCCCTCCTCTCTGCCTCCTCCCTCGCCCTCTGTCTGCTGGAGGCTCACCTAGAGTCAATCTTGCTTCTTATCTCCCCCCTTGTTTAAAATTCTGGCATATGTCCCTGCCCATCTTATTCCATCAGGGGCGTGAGGGGGTTGCCCGAGCACTGTTTTGAGCTCCACAGACATCCCGGCATAACCGCCCCCCGGAGCCCCAGTCACGGAGCCATCGCTTCCTGGGGACCATCTGTGCGCTTCTGGCAGGTCCCCGGCAGTTTCCCTGGGAAACGCAGAGCAGAGCTGCTGTGCAGTTGCTGAGCTTTGAGCCTTTAGGGTCTGCTGAGCAAGTGAGGGAGGGGAACCTCTGCCAAGCCTTCCTGCCGGCTTCACCAGGTCGGAGGTCTGTAACCAGCTGCAGAGACAGGTTGCTGGGAGGGGCCCGGATGGAACAGCCCTCGGGCGGGGAGGCAGCCGCCTCGCTGAGGCGCCTCTAGAGAGTCTCCCTTACACCCACTGCACTTCCCCGCTGCCAGGGTTCTCAGCTGAGGTGGTGGGACCCCTTGTCTCACAGACCTCGCGGGCGGGTGGATATGACCCCTGAATTTAGCCGAAGCTCCTATGATCCTGGTTTCTGATGCGCCTTCTCACCCTCCCCAGGGACCCTCTCAAGACAGACTGTCCCCAGCGCTGTCCCACAGCGTCCTATGTGGCTAACTGTAACACCCCACTGTTTTTCAGGTCCATCCCGCCTCCCGCCGCCTTGGGACACAAGGTGCTGACCCCGCAGACCTGCCATGAAACCGCACTTGAAGCAATGGAGACAAGGCATGCTCTGCGGGATATTTGCGTGGGGGCTCCTCTTCGTGGCGATTTTCATCTACTGCACCGACAGCAACCCTGCTGAGCCCGCGCCCAGCTCCTTCTCCTTCCTGGAGACGAGGAGGCTCCTGCCGGTGCAAGGGAGGCAGAGGGCCATCATGGGCGCTGTGCAGGAGCCCGCCCTGCCCGAGGGCGCGGACGCACCCAGGCACCTGCCCGGGGTACCCCCGCCCGGCCCCCTGCACGCGGGGCCGGGTGACCTGCAGACATGGGCCCAAGATGGGTTGCAAAGTGAAGAAGAGTTCTTTTCACCTCAGACGGGGAGAAAATCTCAAGGCACTTTGCCCCGGGAGGACGCCGCTGGCCGGCCAGGGGCGCACAGCCGCGCTCCGGGCACGTCTGGGCCTCTGTCCCCCGGAGACCCAGGCCCGCCAGTGGGGGCTGAGCCGGGGCACCAGGCCCCGGGGAGGCGGGCGCAGAGACGGCCCCGGAGGCTGGGAAGGAGCACCGCGCCGGAGGAGGGCGAGGACGGCGACCGGCTGTCCTCGTCCATGTCCAGCGCCTTCCTGCGCCGGCTCTGGAAGGGCGACGCGTCCCCCCGGATGCTGCACCCGCGCCTGCAGAAGGCCATGCGCGCCTACCTGAGCGCCAACAAGCACGGCGTGCGCTTCCGCGGGCGGCGGGCGGCCGGGCGGAGCCGCGCGGAGCTGCTGTGCGCGCTGCGGGGCCGCGTGCGGGTGCGCACCCTGGATGGCACCGAGCCGCCCTTCTCGGCGCTGGGCTGGCGCGCCTTGGTCCCCGCCGTGCCGCTCGGCCAGCTGCACCCGCGCGGGCTCCGGAGCTGCGCCGTGGTCACGTCGGCCGGCGCCATCCTCAACTCCTCGCTGGGAGAGGAGATAGGTGGGTCCCCCGCGGGTCTCCAGATCCTGCGCCCCCAGCGCCTGAGGCCCTGGATCCCCGCCACGCAGGGTGGCCGGTGTGGTCCTGCTGTTTTTGGAGAGTCTTAGATCTTTTTCCTTCGCTGGGACGGAATGAGTCTGGTTGGGATTCCCGCAGAGATCTCCTTTGGGGTGATTTTCAAGCCGAGGCGTTCTCCCCAGAGCCGGGGGCCAGGGGTAGGGGAGGCCAGCGGCCCGTCTGGCTGCCGGTCTCACGGCTCGTCTCCTGTAGAAGCCCCATTCTGCACGGATGCGCTCCCAGCGGGGGCGCACGCCTGATGAACCAGAAAGGTAGTGGGATTATGAGGGAACAAGGAACAGGAAGGACAGCAGGGGACCCGCACGGGGCAGCGACCCTAAGGGTCAGCTCCAGGGAGAGGTTTGTATGATGATAGTTTTAACTCTGTCGGAGACTGAAGCCCGATCCCTGGGCCCTGCTGGGAGCTGGACCACTGCTGCCAACATTGTCCCTGCGGGAACCCGAGTCCTGACCTCCCAGGGTTGGTGCGTGTCCAGGCTCTGGGCCCTGGCCCCGGGACCTCCCAGGGACCTTCTCCCGGACGGTGAATAACCCACCACATCCTGGGCTTCCATCTCCCCTGCTGAACTGCCTTCCGATCCACGTCGAGCCCTGGAGCACCTCCGGGTGGTGGTTCCTCTGTTAATCTGGCCTCTCCAGAGAAAGGGACCAGTGGGATATTGATGGAGAAGGATGTATTTTAAGGCCTCATTCCCACTGTGGTGGGCGGGTGCAGATAAGTCTGGAACCTGCAGGGCAGGTGGGCAGGCAGGCAACTCAGGAGGGTTTCTGCTTCTGGAAACTTCAGTCCAGTCTAAGGCCTCTGACTCCCCTGGTGCCGGTCCCCGTGCTGCGCCCTTTAGGCTCATTCACTCATTTGGAAAACACCCATGGAGCCCCTACTCTGCCGGCTTCTGTCCGGGGTGCCAGGAAGACAAGTGTGGACCAGACGCAGGCTCGGCCTCAGGGCCCGATGTAAGCAAACGCTGCCATACGTTCTCAGGGTAGAAGGCGTTCGCTCGTAGACAACCTGGGTGTGACTTTTGGGGACCCTGCCCACTTGTTAGAAAGGAATCACCATGGTTCCTGGGGCCTCTTCAATGTTCCATGTCCTTGAAGAGTGGCCGAGATTCCAGAGCCGTCTTGAAAGAGGGTGATGCTTTCTGTTAAAATCAGGCTGCCCCACCCAGACCTCCTCTCACAGGCTCTTGGGAATGAGGCCGAATGTGGAATTTTTGAGAAGCTGAAGAAACAAAGCCCAAGTCTGGGCTTGAGGCCTGGGGTCCCAGGGTCCCTGTGCTGACATTAAACAGGCTCACGGTAACACTGTCCATGTGTCACATGGACTTGAAGCCAAAGCCGGAGCTGGCCGGCTGCAACCCATCAGGAGGGAGCCGCGGTGTGGAGGCCCCCACGGTGAAGTAAAGCCACTCTCCTCCCTCCTTTCCAAGGACCGTTATTAACAACGGAGGAAGGAATTTAGGCAGCATGCTTTAAAGCAGGCAGTGGCTTGCTCCTGGTTTGGTTGGGCTTTGTTTTAAGCACTGCTGCATCGTAGCTGTGCCTTTGGGTTGCTCCTGCCTGGCAGAGAGAGGCCCCTTGCTCTTTATTCTGGCATGAATAGCCCCGATCAGAGTCCTGTCCACTCTCCTCTATTCAGAATTTGGAAGAGAGTCTGAAAGACACTGGCAGTTACACATTTCCCAGGAACGTGACATGTCAATCACATCTTTGTTAGTTTCTAGCTTTCACATTCATTGTACAGTGTTCACATTTTTTCCCGTTTTTTAAATAGAAGTCTAGTCAGTTTACAATGTTGTGTCAATTTCTGGTCTACAGCGTCATGTCTCAGTCATACATATACACACATATATTCCTTTTCATATTCTTTTTCATTACAGGCTCTTACAAGATATTGAATATAGTTCCCTGTGCTGTACAGTAGGACCTTGTTGTTTATCTGTTTTATATAGAGTAGTTGGTATCTGCAAATCTCAAACTCTCAATTTATCCCTTCCCACCCCCTGGTAACCATAAGTTTGTTCTCTATGTCTGTGAGTCTGTTTCTGTTTTGTAAATAGGTTCATTGGTGTCTTTTTTCTTTCTTTTTTTAGATTCCACATATGAGTGATATCATATGGTATTTTTCTTTCTCTTTTTGGCTTACTTCACTTAGAATGACAATCTCTAGGTCCATCCATGTTGCCGCAAATGACATTGTCTTACTCTTTTTTATGGTTGGGTGGATTCCACTGTATAACTATTACCATGGCTTCTTTATCCAGTCCTCTATCCACGGGCATCCGGGTGGTTTCCGTGTCTTGGCTGTTGTAAGCAGTGCTGCTGTGAACACACACACTCGTGTGAAGCATCGTGATTAAACTTGTACAGAGGTAACTGAAGAACAAACACACTCAGAATTTTTTTGATTTTCTGTTTTGCCTCGATCCCTTTGAATGCAGTTTTGTATCTAGCAGTTTAAGAATACGTAATAGCAGCATAATTCCGTTTGTAAAGACAAAAGGTCTTTCGTTTTTGTAAGCCGGCATCTCAGCTCAGCCCTTGTGCAAGCCAGGTGCTGGGTGTCCCCTTCCCGCTCACCTGAGCGAGCCCGTGCTTATCGACACAGCTGTTAGATTTCCTGAAGATTCCTTCAGGGAAATTTGGGGAGGTGGGCGTGCTGAACTATTTCGCAGAATTCATCCTGGCCCTTAAACGTTAACTTGGAAACTGGCTAAGAGGAGAGGACTTGCACGAGGTGGTGGGCGTGGGAAAAACTGAGCGCAGAGCTAGAAAAGCACCTGCGGTAGCCCCCTGCCCAAAGCCCCTGTGGGGGTCTCAGCCCCGTCCCTCTCCCAGGGAGGGGACCAGGGAGGCCCCGGGCTGCGCGTCCACCACCCCCAGCGCTCTCTGCCGGCCACTCTGCCGGCAGTGCCCCCCCACCCCCGTTTCCCCAGCTCCCTCAGACAGAGTCACAACTGGCCATTGTTTTTGAGAAGAACAGTGTAGCAGCTGTAAACACCTCCACTCTGAATATGTTATTGAAAAGCAGACTGAACTGTTATGGAAACAAGCGACAATCTTTTCTAGAAGAGTCATGAGATGCTCTTTTTTTCACCCATTCCTGTAAATAATAATCTCGCAGTGAGATCACCACCAACAGGCCTGTGGAAACACACTCCAGATGAGCAGGTCTGCTCTGAACTAACGGCAGTGGCCTTGAACGGGAGATCAGGGTCTGTGACTTGGAACAGATTCTGGGAAGCCTGTGGGAAAGGGGAGGAGGCCGTGTGGGAGTGGGGTGTACAGCACTCCCGGGAGAGCTGGGCATTTGGACTGTCTTGTTACCTTACCTCAAGGGGGGAGGGTATGGCTCAGTGGTAGAGCATGTACTTAGCATGCAAGAAGTCCTGGGGTCAATCCCCAGTCCCTCCATGATAAATACATAAATAAGTAGACCTAATTACTCCCCCCAAAACAAACAAATCAACCTTACTTTAAAAAAGCAAGAAAGTAGATCATATAGTCATTCAACAAGCATGGATTCCCCAGCTCTGCACCAGACACTGCACTTACCCTAGTGACAGCAGGGTGGATAAGGCACAGACTCTCAAATGCTCTGCTGTCTCATGGGAAAGGCAGACTGTAAACAGACCATTGCAATCTCATGATTAGGAGAAGGACAAAGAGAGATGTGGACTGACAGGGCAGGGGTGACACCCAACTCCCACCCCACTGCGAGGGCTGATGTCCGGGCAGAGAGCGGAGGTTAGCAAAGACCACTGAGAAGAGAGGAGTCCAGGTCAACCATCGCAGGGAGATGAGGAACAGTGCAGTATGCGGGTGACGAGGGCTGGGGTGGCCCTGGGGCTGGGGCTCAGAGAGAAGACAGATGAGCTGGACGGCTGGGCAGGAGGCCAGCCCCCACTCCGAGTTCTAGGGTGTCACTCCCTAGAAATCAGACCTCACGTAATGACTCTCATAACAGGGACCACTTGTAGGGTGTTTACTGCAGAGACGGTCCCATCCTAAAGGCTTTTATGTGTTGACTGTTTCAAGCCATGCGGTGCTGACGGGTGGAGATGCTTATTCCTGTTTTACGATAAGGAATCCCGGCACCCAGGGACCCCGAGGGCGGAGCCGGACTCAAATCAGTCTGGGTCTCAGAAACCCCAGCTCCAGCCCCTGGGTCTCATGGTGCAGAGGCATGGGAGTCTTCGAAGTAGAGGAGTGTTGGATCCACTTTCATTCTGGAAAGGTTGCTCCAGAGCCACACTGGAGGGCACCAGGGAATCAGGCAGATTGCAGGCGACTCCGGGAGAGGCCGGGGGCACCAGGGCAGTGGATTCAGGAGGGGGAAGGGGCATCTCCTTGGCAGCTACTCCCCCAAATGCTGGAGTATTTGGCTCCCTTGCTGGTGCGGATTCTGCTTTCTGGCTGAGCTCGGGAAAGGAGGGCGGGGGTGGGAAGTGGGGCCCTGGGCTGGGCATGGATCTGGTGCCAATGCCCCTTCCAGCTGGGAGCTCCTGGCAGGCTTTTAATCTTCCTCAGTGGATGCACTTAGCCCAGCTCTGTTCTCAAGGTCAACATGAAATGGCTGCAGAAACGACGCCTGACTTTCTTCCCCACGCTTGCTGTCTGATCCGTTCCTTCTTCTCTGAATATGAATGGACAGCTTCATTTTGAAGGCACGTCATCTGGGAGAGGCCCAGCCAAGCTCACATTTACAAACATGTCCGCGTGACGGACACACGCAGCTGGTCCTCCCCACCCACCCCTCCTCCCGCCCTGGTCCATTCTGCTCCATCCACGGCAGCCCCATCCCCACCTCTCTGCCTCCTCCAGGAAATTGGCCTTTTAACTCTCCAGCTTCCTACCACTTCCAAAGGAGTGAAGCTAGGTTACCTTTCTGCGCCCTGTGCCTTGTGAAGTTGTTCTAAGTCTTAAAACACACCTCAGTGTAGAACACTGGCATTTAGAAGACGGTACATAATTTGGAGTTTCTACATAACTGATTAGAAATGCACCCTCTACCTAACATCCTTGGTTTGTTCACGTTGCCTCCAGACGGAGGCTGTGTCCCAGGGCAGCGTGCTTGGCGGTAGGACTGGTCCAGCAGAGCCAGCGTCACGCCTCCTGCCCTGGAGTGGTCCTGATTCCTTCCGAGTGCCTGGAGGCCACCCCATCGTCTGAGCCCCCCTCACTCGCTGCCCGTGGGAGGGTTGCCCCAGGCCAGCAGCTCACATGGTACACTCCCCCAAGGGCCCTCCAGACCCTTTCGGGGGGTTCATGAGGTGAGAACTGTTTTTCCACTAGTACCCAGAGGTCTTTAACTGTTGGCATCTGAACTGATGATTGCAGAAGCCATTGTGGATAAAACCGCGTCTTAGCACAGATCAGGGCAGTGGTACCCAGCTTCACTAGTCCTGAGGGAGCATCTTGCTGCCAAGCTTCGCAGTGGAAGGAAAGGTTCCAGTTCTGTGTACGGATGTCCTTGAGGAGGCAGTAAACGCGGTCAGTTTTATTAGATTTCAGTCTTTGAGTGCATGTGCTTTTAAAACGAAGTGTGAAATAACATGAGAGCTTGTCCGTGGGGCCAGCCCACATGGAAATGCGCTCGTGTGACTGCGTTGTGAGTGGAACTAGCCGCTTTTGTCACGAGGCACAACTATACTTGAAACAAATGGCCAACAGACATACTTTGTTTAGACTTGAATATTTGACAGACATTTTCTCAAAAAGGAAGGAAGCCAGCCTGTCACTTTTAGGGAAATAACTAAGAGTCTGTAGCCAGTGATTAGGTTAAAGCTTTCAACCACGAGCTTGGAAGCTTCCCAGGCTCAACGAGTGATGAGCTCTGTGGCAATACTGAGGACATTGGACACTTCATGATGAAATGCATCGGTACTTGAAGATCAACTTATTGAACTGATAGTTTCCAAGTGACTGCTGTGCGGTGTTATGTAAAATATTCATGGGCGAATCATCCATTTTGAGAGCAAGACTAATTAATGGATTTTTAACACAGCAGGGCACAGAAAGGTCATTGACATCGTGTCACATGCCATATTGCCACCAACCTCTCAGAAACTCTTGTCGAGTTTTGGTGATGTATCAGAGGAAAATTTTCCCAGTAACCTGGAAAGACTCTTCAGACATTCCCTCCATTTTCAGCGATGTCTCTGCATCTCCATTTATTTCAACTAAAGCAATATATTGTAGCAGATTGAGTGCAGAAGCAGATTCATGAAACCCACTGTCTTCCAAAGAGCCAGGCGTTAAGGAGATTTGGGAACACTTAAAAACAGTGCCAGTCTGCTCCCTGATTTTTGAAGCTTTTTTTTTTCACTAAAATGGGTTATTTTAAAGATAATATTGTATAATGATAAATATTTTAAATTCTTTTTTATTTTCTTTTTTTTTTTTTTACTTACTAATGCGATTTATCTTGAAAGATAGAATCTAAACAAACGAAAGGTCCCTGGGTTGTCAGTCATTTCCAAGGATGTAAAGGGACCCTGAGATCAAGAAGTAAGAACCACTGTTTTGGGAGGTCTGGTTTTTCTGGCTCAAATATCACTTGAAATTTTATGATGAAACACTCTTCAATAATAATAAATCATATGGCAAATAGTTGCACCCCAAAAATGCAAAAGAGTGCCTAAATTGTGAAGGAAAGAAAATTGTAAACGTTTGGGTTTGGGGCATCATTTACGCAAAGCATAGATCACCTAAAATCTGGGGATTGGCAAACCTTTTTTTTTAAGAGCCGGGTAGTAAATATTTTAGGCTGCGTGAGCCTCAGGGCCTCTGTCACAACTCAGCTCTGCTGTTACAGATGACAGATTAATGCAGGGGTGAGTCTGCGCTGCGGGGGTGCAGGGTTGCTCCCTAAAACACTCTGTGGCTTGCCGGCTCCTGCGAAGTTTCCCCTAAAAGAACATTGTAGGGTTTCTAGATGGTATAGCCAGGTGCCCTTTATGCGTTCTTTGTCTTCCAAAAGTGTAGTAATGTGAGTGCTCAAAACTGGAATCCAAATTCTTCTGGAGAGGAGGGCACAGCTTAGTGGCAGAGCGCGTGCTTAGCATGCACAAAGTCCTGGGTTCACTCCCCAGTGCCTCCATTAAAAAGTAAATAAATAAACCTAGTTACCTCCTCCCCACAAAAAAAATTAAAAATTAAATTTAATCTTCTGAGTTCTGGGCTTTGGAGAAAGGCTCACTGTTTGGAAACGTGGTTTTCGTGATGGTGCGCACACTGAGTTTCTGCTGTCTGGGGAGGACGAGGCTCTGTCCCCAGGAGACAACCCAGAGGGGATCAGACTCATCGGAGGAAGGCCAGCTGCTCTGGGGCTTGTGTGGGGTATGGTCACAACACCTGCAGGCTGTTTGGCAAGTCAGAAATACCTGATCTCACCCCTCAGTCTCTCACAAACAGGCACTGTGGTTGCTCCAAGTTGAACTAGAAATGTGGGCGGGATTTTTGAAGCTAAAGAAAGCCCATAGAAATTACCTATTGCTGGTTAACTCTGGTTTCAGCCAGGGTTCGGGAAACACATGAGGTGGCTCTAGAAATTTCAGAACATATGTATGTGTCTCGACTGCTTTGTGGAAAGGGAGCGTGTCCCCACCCCACCCCTTAATCACAAGCCCGCTGTCCTCCACCTGTCCTCTTTGTCTCCATGAAATGGGAGGCTGGCTTTCCCCCAGGAGCTGAGAGAACATGGGTCTGACCATCAAGTCAGATGAAGAGAGACGCAGACTCCTGTTGTAGCTGCAGCTTGGTGAACCTCGAGGGCCGTTACCGGGAGCCCGTGCCATCGGCTGCCCTGCCCCCCTCCAGGGCTGCTGCAGGTGGTCAGACCCGGACGTCGCTGGGATGCAGGGTCTTCTTGGCTTAGCAGAATGTAACAATGCACAGAAATCAGGGCTGGTTTCATCTTAGGCACAAACCAGCACCCAGAAGGGGTAAAGCTGCTCTGAAGGCTGTTGTTCCCATTGAATGAGACACACCGGATCTTGGCGCAGGTGGCGGCTTTACACGCACTGTGAGTGCCCCCGGAGCAGCAGCCAGCCTGGTTCCCATAGATTCCACCTTCCAGATGGAACCTTCCAGAGAAAGGCTGCATCTAATGGATGCTTTAAAGAATGTGAACCAAGTATCTACATGTCCCTTAGACGGTACAGGACCACTTGTAACGGATGTATATGTTTTCAAGCTTGCTTGCCCCCTAGCCAAGATCTCATTCTAAATAAACAGTGAACAGAAAAATGTATGTATGGTATTTGAACTTCGTGGGCGCCCAGTTAGCTTCAGGTGTCAAGAGATCTGCTTTAAGGTGTGTTCCTAGATTATGCTGACTCTGCAGAGAAAAAAAAAATTTGAATTTTTCACTTGTGTGCCCTTAGATTCCCACGACGCAGTTTTGAGATTTAACTCTGCTCCTACGCGTGGTTATGAGAAGGATGTTGGAAATAAAACCACCGTCCGCATCATTAATTCCCAGGTAAGATGGACGGAGTGTTTTCATGGTGTACGTTTTATGGGGAAGTAGTTTAACTGGCTGCATGAAGAGGAATCACCCAGTTTTCCATGACCATGAACTTGCTTATTTTTATGGGTCTTGCAGTTATAAAGAATTAATGAGGAAAAATGCAGAGAAACATGGGTGATGCGTGTGAGTAGAAAAATGAGTACATAAGATCAAAAGGAAAAGTCGGGGTAGATGTGGGCAAATACCTATGTAGCATACCGCATTTTGTGACCTGAAGAGAAGAAAGTTGGAGGAAATCATGGGGTGAAGGAGAGAAAAAGGAATAAAAATTCAAGGGTTAGCAAGGCACCTCGGAAACTTTGAAAATTCTTAAAATGAAAATACATCTTTTCAGTTGTTCTTAATAAGAGTATTTTCCAAAATTCATAGCCAAGTGGTTCTCAGAACAAACCAAAACAATTTCTAGAATTTCAAACTGTATCGGAAAAATGGGTGATGAGCGTTGTATGGGGGTCTCTTGCAGAACAAATATTAGCATTATCCTAGGTCCCGGGGCTCGCAGCCTGCAGACAGGTAAGGAACCAGCCCCTGTTTCCTGAATTCAGAGATGCTGATGATTGAAGATTCCTCCTCGGTCTGATGACAGCTTCTCAGAGAGGAAGAGCTAAGCCTAAGCCAATTAAAACTCATGTCACTTGTGAGATCCGTCCTGACTTCAAAAATATGAACATGCAAAGGAAAAACGTGCATCTTAAACACTGCGGGAAAATTACACCTTAAAACTGAGGCAAATCAGGGCATCATTTTCTCCCCAAACTGTACTTTAAAAAGATGATTGGCAGATGAGATTGAGGGACTCACCCAGGACCAGCGAGCCCACAGGGGGAGGACGGTCACACCGGGTAGGCCCAGGTCTCCTGAAGTTCCCATCACTTATTTGAATATTTTTCTGTGTATCTGCAGATTCTGACCAACCCCAGCCATCACTTCATTGACAGTTCGTTGTATAAGGACGTCATCCTCGTGGCCTGGGACCCAGCTCCTTATTCTGCAAACCTTAACCTGGTAAGTGTTTCCTTTGGTGTCCCTGCCCTGCTGGGTCAGACAGTGCCTTTGACCGATAAATAACAGAAGCTAGTCAGGGATTAAACTGCGACAGGCAGAGTGAAACCGATCCTGGGTGCTGACTTAATTCATGTACGTTCCCACCATTTGAGTCCCAGTTTCAGTAGCATTTGTGGTGAGCGTAATCCATCTAGTGCTAAAGTGTTTTTGTCCTGAAGGATTTAAAACACAAAAACAAATGTCTAAATGTGGAGAAATGCCTAGTTACACCAGAGGTTGGGCTGATTAAACTCAGAACTTTTCCATTGTGAGAGAGTTACATCACCGTCCAAGTAGTTACAAGGTCTTTGGAAATAAATCGGAAGTTCTTGGCAGGGCAGTTTAAACTTTGTGAATCAACAGCACATTGTTATTTAAATGGAATCTGTTACAAGCTTTCCTTGAGTGTGCCATGCCTTGGCTTCTGCCTCCAAGCATTTTTAATCTTATATGATTTAGTATAAACAAGATTATTACTAACCACCAAAATACAAGTAAGTTACATTCATGGCCGATCTCTTTTGGTGAAATCTGGCATGAAGAGTCAATGTACTTGTGTTTTTTCTTTTTGGGTTTTTTTGAGCTGTAAGGACCCTTCACTGTTTTTAATTGAAATATAGTCGACATAATATGTTGCATTAGTCTCTGGTGTACAGCATAGTGATTCTGTATGCATATATATTGGTTTTCATATTCGTTATCATTGTAGGTTACTACAAGATATTGAATATAGTGCCCTGTGCTGTACAGTAGGACCTTGTTGTTTATCTGTTTTATATGTAGTAGTTTGTATCTGCAAGTCCTGAACTCCCAATTTATCCTTCCCCACCCCGTTTCCACCAATAACCGTAAGTTTGTTTTCTATGTCTGTGAGTCAGTGAACTTGTTCTTAAAGAGGGCTGGGAAGATAGGTTGTAATTTAGCCTCGTGAGCAATGCTGCCAGCTGTACCAGAATCTTGGGACTTGCTTTGCCGGCTTCCTAAGATGAAACAGATCTTAACACCAAGGGGCGACTTTCTAAGAGAGCCGCCCAAGGTCGGTGGTCCCTCCGGAAGGAGCGTTCTGTCCCCATTGACCCTGAGACTGAGGCTAGACGGGTACCAAGCACAGCTGTGACTGGTGCCCCCCCAGGAGCGCACCGCAAAGTCACCGGGAATGGTTTTCAGATGTACCTGCCAAAGCCCTGTTCCCAGGGATCTGGGCACATACAGCCTCGATGTGCATTTCTGAGATGCTGTCTGGTCGATTCTCAGACACACCATCTAGTGAGAATCAGCTTCCAATGGACGTTCGACCTTGTCAGCTTCCTTCCAGCCTGAGGTTCTGCGGTTGAAGTTCTGGCAGTTTTCTTGCTCTTTGTGGACCAACAAGAGCCTCCAGCTGTCGGGCCTTGTTTCTGCCTGTGTTGGGAGCATCCCAGCCCAGGGCACAGAGCTGTCCAAGCCAAAGGCCGCGGGCTGCTTTCCGTGGGTCTCGTGTGAGGCTCCAGGGGAGGCGGAGAAGAAAAGACCCCCACGTTCTCTTGCCCTCCTCTCACCACCTTGGGGTTTGGGGGCACAGTTCACTGAAGATGCTCTGGCCAGTCCTCAGAATTTGTAAAGGCACAGACCACATTCAACCATGGACTATTCTGTGGGATCCTAATGGACACCCACTCTGCCCAAGGTATCTGTTTGCAGGGACCGTTAGAGCCCCTCCCCCCACACCTCCAAGTCCTGTTTCTTGGCCGCACCCCAGACACTTCTGAAGACTTAAAAAAAAAAAAATCAACCTTATTGTTCATGTTTTCTTACCATGCTTTATGTATAATCAGCGTGTGCCCATTTTGATGGGTGTACACATGTAGACAGTCACATAACCCCCACCACAATGAAAAGACAGAAATGGGGGAGAAGGATCGCGCTCAGGGGTGGAGCGTGTGCTTGCTTAACTTGCACGGGGTCCTAGGTTCAGTCCCTGGTACTGCCATTAAAAATAAATAAATAAATAAACTTAAAAAAAAAATTTTTTTTAATTAGAAAAAAAGGAAATAGAATCTTCCCATCGCTGCTGAGAGCTCCCTTGGGCCCCCTCATCTGTCTTCCCAGACCCACCCCCAAACCCAGGCACTGACTGAGAACTTTCTAAACGATAGATTTGGAGAAGGTATTTTTGAAGTACAGTGATTGCCCCGGGGGTCAGCAAGCAGCAGCCGTGGCCCAAGTCTGGCCCCGTGTGTGTGCAGATAAAGTTTTACAGGAACACAGCCACGCGTACTCATCCCGTCCCCGCCGTGGCCGTTTCCAGGCCCACAGCAGAGCCCAGCGGTGGCAGCAGCGCCTCTCTGGTCCCCAAAGCTTTCCGCGTTTGCCATCGGCCCTTTACAGGAAAGTCCGCTGACCCGCCCTGGGCCCTTCTCCCGCGTGTAACCCGGGAGTAAGGCATCGGCCGCAGGCTGGCACCGGCTCTGCCCCCGGCCCCTCCTCCAGCGAGGCGGCGCCTGCGCGGTGGTGCCCGCACCCGCCAGCCCGGCCCGGCCCGGCCCCTCGGCCTCCAGGTGCCCCCGGCCTGGGCGCGCCCTGCTTCCCTCCCGCAGCGCGGCCCTCCGTCCCTGACGGCGGCGTTCTGCTCCTCTCCTCCTAGTGGTACCAGAAGCCAGACTACAACCTGTTCACGCCGTACGTGCAGTACCGGCGGAGAAACCCGGAGCAGCCGTTTTACATTCTCCACCCCAAGTTCATCTGGCAGCTCTGGGACATCATCCAGGAGAACACGGAGGAGAAGATCCAGCCCAACCCCCCGTCGTCTGGCTTCATCGGTGGGTGAACGTGAGGCTCCGGGGTCCCTGGGCAGGCGGGCAGGGTGGGGCTTAATGCTTAATAAACACACGTTCGTGTTACATAGTAAGAGCCACTCAAGGCGGCTTTGGAGGGGGATTAACGGAAGGGATAGAAACACAGTGTTCCAGCTACCTACCGGCACGTAACAAACTACCCCCGAATTTCAGGAACTGTTGTATTTCCTCTGGTGATGCGGAGGGGGTCAGGACGTGCTTGGCTGGGTGACCCTCGCTCCACAGGCATCACGGGGTCACTGGCTGGTATTCAGCTGCCCCCTGGGGTGGCCTCACGCTATGTGGACTCTCAGTGGAAGCTCAGGGCTCCTGCACGTGTTCCAATCACAGGAAGTACAAGGTGCAGTTTCTCAGGGCTGAGGCCCAGGACTTTCTGTGGGTTAAAGAGCCGCCAGATTCGAGGGGTGGAGACCCCAGGGCCACCCGTGAAGCACCAGCCACCCGACTGCACGGTGCGGACGTGGGGCGGGCGGAGGAGTGGGCTTTGTGGCCACAGGACCACGCCGCAGGCTGCAAGCTTACTGGCACCTCTGGGCTTTCAGGAGTCAAATTCTAGGGCCGCGTTGCGCTCTCTGCTCCAGAGGCGACTGGCTCCAACCCAAAAATGGACTCCACGTAACGAGGGCCTCACACCTGGCATAGTGTGGTTTCTGCGGCCGGGCTTTGAGCCTCAGAGTCTGTGGTCTTAGCTCATTTCTTCACCTCTGTTTCAGCTTATTGCCCCATTTTTTCTTGATTTTATCTGAGTAGGATAATATTGCAGAATATTTTAGGTGCCCTTGGCGATGTGAAGGCTGCAGTAGAAACAAAGGATATTAATTTTGTCCATAAAACATTGATAATGTACTCGACCCTAATTTCAATGAATTTGCAACCCTGCACCTTAGCTCGGGCTGCACAGTAGGTCCCCGTGAACAAAGGGGCATTTGGGGAGGTGGTGCTGGTTTGGGTGAGGGGTGCAGGGCGCAGGAGGATCTGGATCGAGGCTTGTGGGCTTTGAAGCGGGTTTGGTGTACTTTAACAGCGTCAAACATTTTACACAGAATTCGAGCCAAAATTTCCGAGGCTGCAGGTTATTTCCCTTAAGCATAGCTCCCCCCACCCCTTTTAAAGCCATGCCTTTGACATTCTTTGTTTCCGAGTCACTTTTTGAAATCCTCAGTCCTGTATCTTTTGTACAGAGTCACAGAATCCTGTTGACTTAGGGAAGAAAGTGGAATCTAGTGTGTGAGCAAAGGGTCAAGAGGATGGACTGATGCTAAGATGGGAAGTCCGATCAAGCATTTTCCGTGTGGGTGCCTCCCCGTGAATTCCTGAGGCTAATATTTGATTAGAGCTCAAGTTTGGGGGCCCGGGGGCAGGGGCGTCAGGTGTACTTGCTGTCAATGAGCAGTTGAAATTTTCCGCTTACATAGTCACGCTGGAGAACGATGTTTCCCCATGTGTTTTTTGTTTGTTTGTTTTATCTTTTTTAAATTGAAGCACAGTCAATTTACAATGTTGTGTTAGTTTCTGGTGCACAGCATAGTAATTCTGTTACATCTATGTTCTTTTCATATTCTTTTTCATTCTAGGTTATTACAAGAGGTTGAATATAGTTCCCTGCGCTCTACAGTAGGAACTTGTTGTTCCTCTATTTTGCATATAGTAGTTACTATCTGCAAATCTCAAACTCCCCATTTATCCCTTCCCACCTCCCTTCCCCTTTGGTAACCATGTTTGTTTTCTGGGTCTGTGAGTCTGTTTCGTAAATAAGTTCACCTGACTTTTTTTTAGATTCCACATCTAAGTGATATCATACGGTAATCATTCTTGATTTATATGATTTTATTTAATATAATAAATGCTAAGAAGCATTATTATAATTATAAAAATTATTATTTTCTTACATGAAATATACATTTCCAAACCACCTTTGAATTGCACATATTTTCTGGAAATATCACTTTTTAAGTCCTTTTTGCTCCTTAAGTAATCTTAAGCGTAGTTCTCATAATTTTGCATCTCACGATGAATTTATGGGGCCCCCGCACGAGAGCTGCTAGGTTTCCCTGGGGCAGCGTGTTCCGCAGCCTTCTGCCCGCCCCCTCAGTCAGGCACATGTCCACAGAGTGCTGTGGTGGTTCTCATAAACGTCTGATGGACCTCACGTGTGGCGTGAGTTCCAGTGTGACCTGGAACTGACGAAAGCCGGTGTTTGCTGTCACTCGCATCATGTTCTGTTATGTCCATACCTTACTGCCACGTGTGGAGAGGGTGTGCTCATCACAGAGAAAATTCTGTTATTATTAATGATTTTGATCCCACTTTAAATATTTTGCCAGGTGAAAAGTTAAGACAATTTTAGTGTAATCACAATGAAAGTAAAGGCTTAATGATTACCCTCTGCTGGCCTCCAACACACACCTGCGTGTGCAAAGTAGCGTTTTACAGGGGAGCCTCATTCATTCCGGGTTTGCGATGATCTGCTCATGGGTTGAGGCTTGCTTTTTATCCAGGTTTTGGACAAATAAGTGTAGATAGTTCTTGTTAATACTGAGTTATATAACGCGTCATTTTATTAAGACCAGTGGAAATGCTTTTTAATTGGTTTGATAATGATACTGAATTATACAATATTTAAAACATGAAATTTGGCAAATGAATGCCTCTTGAGTCATATTTGCCCAGAAAAATTTGCACTTTTTTTCCCTTCAAATGACTCCCTAGTAGATACTCATTTGTAAAAACTGGCCAAAAAACCTTACCATTAATTGAGTTATAGTCAAAGATTTTTAAAACCTGGCCACATGCCCTTTTGACTGGCTGGAGAAATACATTACAAAGTGTCTAAATATTGATCTGCCTTTCAAAAAGGCTGGCTCCATGTTGAAAGCAGAAAATTTTCTTAGTGATGAAAGCAGTTACTTTTCAGTAGTCCATAAACAAAATTATGTAATATAAAAGCTTCTTCAGTGATTTCTTTTACAAATTATTTTACTGAATACCAGGGCATTCGATGCTTTGTATTTTTGTTTTTAGATAATCCTGAGTAGTCCTAAGAAAGGAAATGAAAAAAGAAACAAAACAGTTTTAGCATAACCAGATGTGAACTCCCCGTCGGCCGGGGCTTAGGGAAGTGATGAGGAAGGACTGGGATACTGTGAGTTTACACGTGTGTGGTGTCTGTGCGGATGGCTGATTAGGAAGGCTGGCATCTGGGAGCCTGGGCTCTCCATCAAGAGCTGGCTCCCAGAGTCTCTGCAGAGCTCCCCTGACGGTGGATCACAGTGTGTTGCTGGAGGAATTAGCCCATCCTTGTGAGTCCATGGGGAGAAGGTTCTGGAAGTTTATGCCCGTCTCCCCTGGGCTTCACCCTGTGTGCTTTTCCCTTTGCTGACTCTGCCTCGTACCCTTTTGCTATATCGTTGACTATATGTTGGGTCCCATGGGTGCTTCTGGCAAATCATCAAACCCAGAGTAGGCTGGGGACCCAGTACCTTGTCAGTATGATTCACAGAGCATCTGAGAAATGTGTGGTTGGCGTTTGCGCTGTTTGTGGCTGGCAGGGCTCAGCATCACAGCACTTCAGAGGAGATGCCGGCGGCGGGGCTCAAACCTTTTTCTCGGTCCAGTCATTAAACATGCCTTCCTCACATCATCCTAAGATTGCAGCTTGTGGGCTTGGCCCCCATTTTTACGTTGCAAGCTTAGTTCTTTCGTTTAACGTACTTTTTTCCTTAGAGAAATTTTCCCTAAATCCCCAGTCATCAGAACTGTATCCCGTTCAAGACACGTTGCATTTATTTGAAGAGGCCTCCAAGAGGACTTGAAGGCTCTGGTCTGTCCCAGCTCTGCCCCAGCCCTGCCTCCCTGCGGGATATACTCCCCACATCCCGTTCCCTAACGCACACTCCCAACCGCGCGGGAGCCATTTACACACCTGCAGACACTGACGTCCACTGGTTCCTGTGTGCAGCCCACGAAGAAATTCCACCTTCGGGATTTTGTGTATGGCTCCATACTGTGAACCTGTAGGAAAACTGACATGTAGATTTAACCACGTTTAATTTTAATGATTTTCAGTGTTTATTATATGACAGGGTGTAAATCTAAATGCAAATATATGTATATCAGCCTTAATGAATTAAAAAGCAGAGTGTACAGACGCCAAAGGAAACGACCATGCTGTCAGAAAAAATTTAAAATAATAAAATATTCTCCACATTTGGTTTCATTAATCTTGTCCACTTTTCACACGTCTCCGGCGAGTTGTACATTGATTTTCCATCCGTTTGAAAGCGCTGCAGCACCAGTTCGATATCCAAATGACAGCTGGCCGTCATTTAAACGCTTAGAGTAGATTTGGCTCTAACTGAGATTTTGGGATGTGCCAGGCCAAGGCTCACGATTGCAGAACCCACAAGTTCATAAGGGAACATGAAACGAAATGCAGAAAACAGGAGGAATTATGCAGATAATTCAAGATAAGGACCACACTTCCCGAACCTCTGCTGGCCTTCAGTTGGGACTGTCATGAACTCCGTGGCAAGCTTTTGTATTTCTGAAGCTCTATAAGTTATTTTTAAATCACCTCATACCGATCAGAATGGCCATCATCAAAAAGTCCACAAATGATAAATGCTGGAGAGGGTGTGGAGAAAAGGGAGCCCTCCTGCACTGCTGGTAGGAATGTAAATTGGTGCATCCACTGTGGAGAACAGTATGGTTCCTTAAAAACTAAAAATAGAGTTACCATATGATCCAGCAATCCCACTCCTGGACATATATCCAGAGGAAGCCCTAATTTGAAAAGATACACGCACCCCAATGTTCACAGCAGTACTGTTTACAATAGCCAAGACATGGAAGCAACCCAAATGTCCATCACCAGATGAATGGATAAAGAAGATGTGGTGTATATGTACAATGGAATACTACTCAGCCATAAAAAGTAATGAAATATTGCCATTTGCAGCAACACAGATGGACCTAGAATTTATCATACTAAGTGAAGTAAGCCAGAAAGAGAAAAAAAACCATATGATGTCACTCATATGTGGAATCTAAACCAAAAAAAAAAAAAGAGAGAGACACAAATGAACTTATTTATAAAACAGAAACAGACTCAGAGACATAGAAAACAAACATGGTTACCAAAGGAGAAAGGGCAGGGTGGAGGAAAGGATACACTAGGAGTATGGGATGAACAGATACACACTACCATATATAAAACAGACTTAAAAGACAAGAATTTACTGTATAGCACAGGGAACTATATTCAATGTCTTGTAATAACCTATAATTGAAAAAGAATCTAGAAAGGTATATTATATATATAATATGTATATGTAATATTATATATATATTATATGTATATATATACACATAACATATGCGTATACCTGAATCACTTTGCTGTACACCTGAAACTTACACAATATTGTAAATCAACTATACTTCAATAAGATATATATAAACACTTTTTAAATGAAGAATTACCACCAAACAAATAATAGATTAGGAACCTTTGAGTCTAGCATTGCTGAGAAATTATAAATAAGTCCAAGATTGTCAACAATGGCTTCAGAAAGGCAAGATGGAATTGTATTGTGCTGACAAGCATTTCAGGTGGAAATTTTTTACTGTGGGCTTACATTTTATTTACATTCTTAGAAGTGGACTTTCTTGCCAAATTTTCACAACTTATCACTTAAAAAGAATAGTATGAGGCTCTGCAGTGATTTGTTACTAATGAATCGAAGCACCAAATGATTTACTTTCTCGTCCTTTACTTGAAATGACAATCACATCTATTAATGACAGGGGTGCAGAAAATTCCTAGGGAAGGCCACAATCACCCTGGTATGAGGAGAGAGGGGAAAAAATGAGGAATTAAAGCAACTTTAATGTTGATAGTTCCAGTGAGGAAAATAATTTTGGGGTGGGGGAAGTAATTTGATTGATTGACTGATTGGAGGTACTGGGGATTGAACCCAGGACTTCATGCAGCACAAGCTAAACCACTGAGCTATCCCCTCCCTGGAGAAAAATAATTTGAATATGGATCTGAGACTCTGTGCCTCCATCTCTTTCCTTTTAAGCCGCTATTTTACATCAATGTTTTTATGACATGCGTTTCATGGGGACATCACAGTCCTGTTGCAAATCCAGTGGACCCGTGTGTAGAACGGAGTGGACCTGCGTGTAGACGGGGGCACCTGCGTGTAGACGGGGGGCACCTGCGTGTAGACCTGGGTGAATGAGTCAAACCTGGGGATGCAGTCTGTCACCAACTGTCCTCTCCTGAGTTCGAGCACTTTGTCTTCTCTCGTACTCGGGCCCCCAGGAGAGGACCGAACGAATGCGTGTACAATCGCGTCAGGTCCGACACGCCCCCGCGCCCCCAGGCCGCACACACGCCCCTCACTGGAAGCCATAGCCGCGGGGTACAGCGGACAGGAAGGGGGAGCAGCGCTGGGGCGTCCCCACCCCCGCCCGCGTCGCTCACCGCTCGGTCTTCTGTCGCGCAGGCATCCTGCTCATGATGACGCTCTGCCGCGAGGTGCACGTGTACGAGTACATCCCATCGGTGCGGCAGACGGAGCTGTGCCACTACCACGAGCTGTACCGCGACGCGGCCTGCACGCTGGGCGCCTACCACCCGC